CCATCGATGTCTGAAGAAAGCATCGATGAAGAACTCATGTTCAGCGCGATAGTCTTTCGCGCTGGGGTCAAGGTGATGAATCCTTGACGAATCGAACAATCGTGTTCGATAACGATCACTCGTCGTCGCCGACAAGTGATCCATGACAGATTTTAGGAGGCATCCACGCCTTCTTTTCTGGAGCGAGACGCAACACATTGCGGTCCCGCTCTTCCTGCGACGTGCCGACAGAAGTACTGGCACCTCGCTGTGAAGTGGTGTCCATTGGAGAAACGACACCACTATTAGCGCCCGAGTCTCGCGACTGAAAGCGCCTTCTTCGTTTGGCGATGGTTCATCTGACCTTCATCAGATGAACCAAAGATGCTGCGACGCAAAAGCATCGTCCATGCCACGCTTGGCAGGCGGCTTGGATTCAATTGCTCGTCGATACGATCCGTCATCTGTATCAGGAGAGTACGCTATAATGAGCTTTGTACTCTGTGAAGATATGAGTGTCTTAATAACCAGCGCCTGCATCACCAGGTGATACAGGCTGATAAATGGATTCAGCAACCGATGGGATATCAGTTGCTGTAGTTACTGCTTCGGCGTCCGCACAGAGACGTGCAGACGCGCTCTCGGCGGCCTTAGCTCGCGCACGCATGGGCTTGTTTACTATGCGATCAGATGTTGGAAGTGGATTTTTATCTCAACAAGTAGAAACCCCGTCCCAAATGATTTGGGACGAGTATCCATTTAGTCAATCAGTCACTAAAGTGACTGATGGTTAAGGGGGGGTGATGTAACGGGGTGAATCGTTACATAACAATTTATAAGAAATTGTTAATAGAATATAACTATAAGAGTTATATTCTCAGAATATTGTCATAAGGACAATATTCTGTAGCACAACCAACGAAGACGCGCCACGACAGACGCACGCAATGAGTGGTGAGCAGATAACTGATTTACACATTTGTATTTAGACATAGTTAGATGAAGATAAATAGTGATTTATTGCAGACATTAACTATTATAAATACAGTTCTACTTTTTACTCTAACCGAGTACTCGCTTCTTCTTACCGTCTTCTCTCTGCACGTACCGAGTGTACGTGATGATAAGCGAGGCCACCGCCTTATTCTGTCATCAGAATAAGTAGCTTGTACTGTCACCAGTACAAGCTTCAGGGTGCCTTGTTACGTGAAGCGCCTTCGATGCGCTTCGAGATTGAATGAAGTTGCTGCAACAGCGGGAATATCGTGGACTTGCATCGGTTCTGATCGTCATGTGTTATCCATGTGGTAACAATATCATGCTCCTCAATGTAACTCTGGAAAAGAAAGTACATGATTGTTGCAAAGAAGGTTAAACCGAAGTGAATATTGAAGGTCCTTAATTCACTACCCTCAGCTAAGTCTAAGCCTTTATGTAACGAACTCCTCTGATCTCATTATGTAACCGCGATCCATAACATTTATCTATAACCAACACCATGAAACACCCTGACACACAAATCATTACCTTGAACCCAACATGAAACGACTGCATTAAGCGGCGTAAACTCAACACTCCCATTCGCCTCTACTGTGTGCCGGTCTTGGAATCTGGCTTGTCTTAATCCCGGTTGCCTCGCACATAAATTTTATTATCTTGGTTCCGAGTGCCTGTTAAGCGTATCCGCGAGTTGATTTTTCGTGTCAATGTAGTCGATCTTTAATATTACGTCTTGCACATATTCAAGGAACAAAGTGATGTCTAACGTCCACACGCTTTGTCCAAGCGTGGTATACGGGTTTGTTGGCCAAAGCAATCGCTCGTTGATTATCTTCCCACCTCTCACTTGTTCGTGACCCATGTCCTTTAGCATCGCACGCGTCCAAAGAACTTCTTAGGTGCAAAAAATGAGCGTCATACATTCAGCTCCCGTCCAGCTAAGCGCAACCGCTCGCTGCTACTTCGACTTGAACACCACTGGTGCGCTTGCAATCATGGCCATAACTGTAGCGGAGCTACACAGCTCCTTAAGTCAGAGGAAGACTTAACGCTCTACGAGCAACTTAGTTCTAAAGAACTAACGACTTTACGAGTCAACAAGCTTTATAGCTTCAGATCCCTGTTCCAGGGGACCTAACGATTCAGTGAATCGACAGCACTTAGTGCTCAAGAGTAGCTACCTCAAGGAGGTGTCGCTAACTCTTAGTGATCAGAGATCAACGATCAAGACGGCTCGCAAGCCACGTGTCTTTCAGATCAAAATGGGAACTGATTTTATTTTTGTTAAAGCCTATAGAATATCTTAATCCTACTCAAAGATCTTTCGTATCTAATGGCTGACACTCGTCAGCCCCTACAAACCGATAAGATATTCTATATCACCTTCACAGAAGCGAACCCTCAGGTGTGTAACACCTCTGGTACAAAGTACCATGATTTCGTGCAACCCCGTTACACCCTCCCCCACCAGACTGACGTTTGCCAAAACGTCAATCGAACTCCGTGTTCTCAGCGAGAACAGTGCGCGTACGGTGAACCTCACGGTAACGCGCCCCCCCCCCCCCCGCGCCCCCCCCCCCAAAACCGGCGGGGGGCGGGTTGGGTCCCCCTCGGAGGGGGGGGGGGGGGGGGGGGGGGGGGGGGGAACCCAGTGTCTGCGGTGACACAGGGACAACGTCCGGCTCACTGATGCCTGAGGCACAACTTTCGAACGCCCCAAATCCGTTCGCTGAACGTGGAGGTGCGAGCGCGCCGCCAGCGCAGCATGCAGCATCTGGTTCTGATGAGACTATCATCACGAACCCGCTCGATGAGCAACAACAACTGCTTGTTCAAAGAGAAGAAAACGCTCAGCGTTATGCACAGATGACTGCAACCCTTGAACGCCAGCGTGATTATGTGTTCACCCCACCCAGTGTGGAGGAACGTCTGCGTCAAGCGGCCGGCCAAACATTGGCAACGTGGGTCATTGGCCATGAGCCTAAGACTCCTGAGGAGGTGGTGAGCTGCCAGGCACTTTGTGAGAGGTACCTGGAGCCGCACCTAACGACTCAAAGTCAATACAAGGCACGCCTTGACATGCAAGCACGTGGTGCACCAGTTCCACCGATGAAGGGTATACCCATTCTCCTGCTCGCAGGCGAAACAGCGAGTGAAGAAGACGATGCCTTTGTTCACTGGGTGCACTATGTGCGTCGCCTCAGCAACATTTTTGCTCTAAGGGCTAGTGCCCATGCGGCGGATGTGCGTCTCGAACGCAAGCTTCGGTATTATTATGCCAAGCTTAAGGCCAGAGGCCAATTGCGCAAGCGCACGCGCTATGCTTCGGCTACTAAGGTAGCCGCGAGTGCTGGTCAGTCTGTGACCAACAACCCGCCAACCCGCACCACTAGTGGTGGTGAACGGCCTCGGCCTCGAGATGACCATGGCCACGATGCTCAAAAGCCTCCAAAGCATATGGGCAGTCTTGCCGAAGGGGTACCTCAAATTCCCATGAGTTTTCAGACTCAGGGTACCCACGCCACTTTACCAGATACTGGTATTGGCCCTGACGACGACGTCGTTTCAGTAGTCTCTCGACATGGAATTGACGACACCCATGCTCATCGAGCAAAGTCGGTGGCGGCCGGTGTACCGGTGGAGGCCCACGAGAAATTGGTTCTCGAAGTGAAGGGTCTTCAAGAGGCCTTGGGTAAGTCCCAGAGCATGCTGGATGCGATGCAAAGCCGCCTTCAGGCGATGGAGCAAGCTCAAACTCGGAGCGAGGCTCAGTTGGACTTGCTGGTTCGTCTACAGCAATCCGGGGCAGTGCCCTTGTCGTCGGCGCAAGCGCCTCCAAGTTCACATGGGAAGGATCCCGGTACGGCTTAAGTAAGCCTACGTAGAACACTGGATGTGTGCGCAATTTGCGCGGGAGGTTTAGCGTATACGCAAGTCCCTTCTTGGCCGTGACCGTAAACGGTCCAATAAAGCGTGGACGCAACTTTGTCTTAAAGACAGCAGACACTACATTTGTAGGTAGATTTTTAGCATTGAGTAGTACTTGGTCTCCGACCTCATAAAGTTCAATACAATTTCTGCCTTTGGCATCAGCTTGTTGTTTTTGGGTATCTTGGCTATCAGCCATTGCGTCACGCACATGTCTTAAGACATTTAATCGCGTTGCGAGAAACTCGCTTACCTGTTTTTGAACAGTAGCAGGGCTGATATCAGCAAGCCGATCGGCAACCTCTCCCCCACCAAGCCCTGATTCACGTAGTGATAGCGTTAACGGAACGCGAGGGTGAGTGAGACCGTTTATATAGAACGGAGTAAAGCCTGTTGAGGCATGAACAGCGTTATTCAACGCAAACTCAACAATAGGGAGCATTGAGCTCCAACGCCTAGGCGTATCAGCGCAAACACTGCGCAAAATGTCGTTGATGACGCGGTTTACACGCTCAGTTTGACCGTCGGTCTGCATATGATCCGCTGTGGACATATCCAACCGAGTGCCAAGCACCTTGAAGATAGACTTCCAAAACTTCCCAGTGAAGCGGGGGTCTCTATCAGAGATAATTGCCACAGGCAAGCCATGTTGGCGAAAGACACGGTCGATAAACAGCTTTGCTGTACCTTCCGCATCAATGCTATCCGGCACAGCCGCTAAGTGAGCCATCTTGCTCAATCGGTCAACAAAGACCACAATACCAGTGTTGCCTTCCGAATCTTTCGGTAGGCCAAACACGAAATCCATGCTCATGGACTCCCAACAACCACTGGGCACCGGCAAACTATCCAGCGGCGCCGCCGCATGTGCCGAGGGTTTTACCCGTTGACACGTTTCGCACGTACGCACATAGGTGCGCACCCACTTATAGAGTTTGGGCCACCAATAACTCTGGCTCACCGAGCTATAAGTCTTCTCACGACCGAGATGACCACTTAAAGCAGTATCATGTGCCTCATAGAGGATCCGATACTTTAATTCCTCATCATGAGGTACTACGATACGAGGGTTGTCCTCAATATCCGTGCGATAGCACAACAGGCCATTATCGATGGAATATCGATGTAGCCTCGCACGTAAACGTGCCGACAATTCTATGTCCGATTCTTTAAACTCATCGCTCCCAAGAGCACGTAGCAAAGCTACACACTGATCGTCCTTGGCATATGCCGCACGAATTAAGTCAGGGACTGACGACGACAGGGTCGTAACATGAGCAAGCTTATAGTCAGGTCGACGCGATAGCGCATCAGCCAAAGCGTTTTGCTTACCTGGCTTGTACTTTACCTCGAAGTTATATTCGGCAAAGAATGAAAGCCAACGAGCCATTCTCTGTGAGAGATGAGGCGACTGTGTCGCAGTGCGCAATGACGCATGATCGGTATAGATCACAAATGGCTTCGAGCCAAGCAGATGGACTCTGAATTTGACAAGAGCGTACTTCATAGCAAGTAGCTCTTTGTCATGAACAGGATAGTTCTTTTCAGCAGCTTTCAGCTGTCGAGATTCAAATGCGATGACGCGTTCGCGTCCGTCGACATCTGTTTGTAACAGAGCACTGCCTATGGCAAAGTCAGATGCGTCACAGACGACACTGAAAGGCCGACCAGAATCGGGCAAAGCCAATATTGACGCATGAAGGAGACTCTCCTTAACTGCTTCAAAAGCATTATGTTCGGTGTTACCCCAACACCAACCCACATCCTTTTAAGGAGATTGGACAATGGCCGAGCCATATCTGCGTAATTTGCACTGTACTTATGTAAGTAATTGGCAAGGCCAAGCCACTTACGCAAGTCCTTTTGGTTCTTGGGGACTGGCCAATCGACTATGGCTTTTACCTTAGCGGGATCCGCTCGAAGGCCTCGCTTCCCAATGAAGCACCCTAGAAAGGGAATCTCTTCTGCACCAAAGATGCACTTCGATGCGTTCGCATACAGCTTATTCATCCGCATACACCCGAGCACCGCTCGTAAATGATCGATGTGATTGTCCACATCTGATCGCCCATTCATTGCACGACTATGGACAAAAATGTCATCAAAGTACGTTTGTGCATAGCCTCGATGAGGTCTGAATAGTTGCGTTACCAACCGGTTAAATGTAGCCGGGGCGTTAGATAGCCCTTGTGGCATAACGAGCCACTCCCAAAGCATACCGCTCGGAGTACTCACCGCTGTTAGCGGAATATCGCTTGCTCGCATGAGCAGTTGGTAATAACCATCGACTAAGTCGAGTGCACTGTACAGTGTACATCCCGCCATATTGTTCTGAAGAACATCCTTTCTAGGAATAGGCGTCTGCGCCGGTATAGTGGCTGCATTAAGCTTATTGTAAGCATGCACAATACGCCACTTGCCATTTGGCTTTCTGACACAAAATGTCGGTGTTGAATGGGGAGATTTACTCTCACGAACCATTCCAGCCGCGTGCTTAGCACGAAAGAAATCGTCAATGACGTCGCACTGTTCTTTAGGCAAAGGCCACTGCCGTGTTACACAGTGTTTAGTTCCAGGAACCAAGTCAATCTCATGACGTACACCTCTATCGGGAGGTAAGGCAGAAGGTGGGTTGTGACACACCACATCTTGAAATTCCTTGACTAAAGGATAGAACGGATCCAAAGGATCTTTAAGGATCAAAGATCCACTTCGTGCACTAAGTGCCGCCTTTGTATCCTCTAGGACAGACTCATCCATTAACGAGGAAGAATTTAAGTCAGTATCAGGTCTAATGATTGCTAACTCGGATAACTCTCCTGCCTTCAAGGCCTGGCTAAACTCGCCATCAGACATTTCGTCTAGCTCACACAGAGCGTCCACAGATGGAAGGGTTTCGAGGCTCACATTGCCATTAACCTGACCAGTCACTCCATTAACAAGTGTATATAGTGTATTGCTAATCTCACTATGTGACTGTCAGGACGCCTGGCGCTTTACAGCTGCTACTCGGCGTCTCGATTGTCTCTTCGAGACCTTACACCCCTTAGGGGTCGGGACAATATTGTCCCCATGGTTACTACCAACCATAGTACGCTCTATACGAGAGCTTTTGTCTTGACCGACATTAGGTGTGGTGCCCTCACGGCCGTCCACACTATACGGCGTATCGCCAACAGTATCATTACTGACATTAGGTGTGGTGCCCTCACGGCCGCCCACACTATACGGCGTATCACCAACAACGCCATTACCGGCGTTAAGCGTGGTGCCCTCACGGCCGTCCACACTATACGGCGTATCGCCAACAATATCATTATTGACATTAGGTGTGGTGCCCTCACGGCCGCCCACACTATATGGCGAATCGCCAACAACGCCATTACCGACGTTAAGCGTGGTGCCTTCACGGCCGCCCACACTAAATGGCGTATCGCCAAAAATGTCATTACCGACATTCAGTGCGGTGCTCTCACGACCGACCGCACTCGGTGTAGTTTCACGTGCCACCATACACACATCAAAGGAATCACATCCTTGATCACTCGGCCCTAGGCCAACCATGCTTTCAGCATGCAGTGACTCGTTATCACAACGAGTAACACTCAACGGAGTACGTGCCGTTTCACTAGACGAGCTAAGCTCGAAACTTATGTTTGTAACATTGGAGTTAGATAACTCAGACATTCCAATATCCAGCACATTGACATCTTCTGTCAAAGGCTTGCGCCAATAGCGCTTCTGCTGCCTAGCAAAGGTGGGTTCATGACTCTCCAAAGCTTCGCTAGGAACATTGCGCGTAGCGCCTAAGGTCTTAGACCTCCAATCAATCCATGGCTCATGGCGCTCAAGCCAAGCCATACCTAGGATGAGATCATATCTCGAGTCCAAATCTAGGACAAGACAGCGCTCAATACTGTCAAAGTCTAAAAACTTTATACCTAAGTTCAATGGAACTTTAGGCACCGTTACGCGACTTCCAGTCGCTAAACGAACCGTGATAGAATCACCCTCATGCGCTGTAAGCGCCTCAGCATAACGCTGACTTCCCTCAAGGGAACGGCGTCGAGCATAATTGCAAGACGCTCCAGAATCGATCAATATCGACCAAGGCTTCTCGAAGCCCTTAATTTTCGCCTCGGCGACCAACAAGCCAGACTTGTATCCACGCATTATACCCGTAGGTATGGTACTCTTTGGGGCTAAGCCCTGCATTCCTTTACCTTCTAAAGGTGTAACAGAACATAGTTCTTCCCCAGTAGGGCGCCCCGCGCCTACTGGGTGTCGGCATTTCCCCGTGCCATGCCAGACTTCTGACTCGGGCTCGAGTGTTGGCTCGTAGTCTGGCGTTGCTTACGCAAAGGGCAACCAGGCCGCAAGTGTTTAGTGCTTCCGCACGTAAAGCATCGTCTTACAACGTGTTTCTGCTCAGCAGCTTGAAGCTCAGCTTCACCTCCATCTTCAGCATAGCTGAGATCCATCGGTTCCGGCCTATTATAGGCAGTGGTACCCGAATAGTTTGCTCTCACAGAGCGAGGATTGTATCCGTTCCAACCAAGTCTGGCCGACTTGAAGTTATGCTCAGCATTAAGAGCAATTCTCACAGCCTCTCTAAACGTAGAGGGGTGAACCCGAAAAACTTCGGTTCTGGCAATGCCAGTACGTAGACCTTCCATGAAGATAGTCACATGGACTGCTTCAGGCAAAGGGTCAGACTGCATTGCAGCCATGAGCGTTCGCAGCTCTTGGACATAGTCCGATAATTCATTCTTACCCTGGCGGGTAGAAAGAAAGCGTGAGCGCACGCGGTAAGCCTGGTTAGGTGGAGAAAACACCTGTACCAATTGTAACTTGAGCGACTCCCATGTGGGAAACGCTATGTCCACCGACGTGCTACACGTCAAGGCCCATTCTCTAGCTCTACCATCGAGCTTCGAGATAGCCAGCGAGACCTGTTGATGGTCAAGCGTGATCAGGCCTGATCTAATGGCCATCTCGATCTCACGGATCCAGAGGATGAGGTTCTCGCCCTCCTTACCGGAGTAGTTTTTTAGGTCCACTCTAAGTGGACGAGGCTTAGCCTCTTCGTCTGGTACACATAGCGTGTAGGCATAGCCGACGCTATTTGGTCTTGGACCTGCCCTAAAAGGGTCGCTTCATACTGCATGAAGCTTTCAACACGTGCATTAAGCACTTCAGGACCTTGTGAAACAAGGAACTCCACGTACTCTGGACCCAAAGATGCGGTCAGCTTATCAAGCGCGACCTTTTGGGCCTCAGATAGGGGAGTGATGTTTTCCATCCTCACAGAGGATCAGTCTTAAAGACTCAGGCGTAGATTGACTACAAGTGCTACCAAGTGTAGCGGAGCTACACAGCTCCTTAAGTCAGAGGAAGACTTAACGCTCTACGAGCAACTTAGTTCTAAAGAACTAACGACTTTACGAGTCAACAAGCTTTATAGCTTCAGATCCCTGTTCCAGGGGACCTAACGATTCAGTGAATCGACAGCACTTAGTGCTCAAGAGTAGCTACCTCAAGGAGGTGTCGCTAACTCTTAGTGATCAGAGATCAACGATCAAGACGGCTCGCAAGCCACGTGTCTTTCAGATCAAAATGGGAACTGATTTTATTTTTGTTAAAGCCTATAGAATATCTTAATCCTACTCAAAGATCTTTCGTATCTAATGGCTGACACTCGTCAGCCCCTACAAACCGATAAGATATTCTATATCACCTTCACAGAAGCGAACCCTCAGGTGTGTAACACCTCTGGTACAAAGTACCATGATTTCGTGCAACCCCGTTACAGTTATTGTCTGCAATAAATCACTATTTATCTTCATCTAACTATGTCTAAATACAAATGTGTAAATCAATTATCTGCTCACCACTCATTGCGTGCGTCTGTCGTGGCGCGTCTTCGTTGGTTGATATAATGGCCTTTATCAACCAATTAGAAACTACTCGTAAGTGCTACAGAATATTTGTCCTTATGACAATATTCTGAGAATATAACTCTTATAGTTATATTCTATTAACAATTTCTTATAAATTGTTATGTAACGATTCACCCCGTTACAATATCCCTAGTGACACCGTTTATTGTCAACATCGTGTAACGGGCTACCCCGTTACAGGCTGCTAACGGTTGAAGCAATGCTTCTGATTACATTTAGGCGCGGAATTCACGTACCGGTACTGACGGTCCCCAGTAGCTAGCTTCTGTAAGCTACGCATGGTAACGCAAGCTTGACTTTAATGGACAAGTCGGTGCCAGAAGACGTCTTTTCTAAAAACCCTTAACTTAAATATTCACACAGCGTTTATATGACGTTCCGACGACACACGCGTCTGGTGCCACAACGCATTCATTCGACGTTTGATTTCTACGTGTTTCCCGGAGATAACGGAGTTTTGCATTAGCACAAAAGTTGAATCCATGGAAGCTATGTATTGTTATCGGGTATGGTCAACTACGCGGATGTATCCTATTGCATCTCAGTACCTACGCGTGAAACCGAGCAGGAATCAGTTTTACGGTTAATTCATGAGATCATTTTCTATTCCGTTTAACACGAAATCCTCGATCTTTCTGTCCGCCGCTTGCGCCTCGATCAACAGCTCTTCGAAACTAAATTCGTCAGTCTTCAAAAGATCCAGAATGTTGGTGGTATATTGTTCCGGTGCAGAATATTTCTGAGAGAAGGCCGAAATGTACCTCTTCAAGGGATCCTTCACTATGTACAGCCATGGACGTACATTTATAATCTGTGCCAATTGAATGTTGACAACATCACTGATTCTCAATCCCCTTTTCAGCCACATTTCAAACAGCTCCTCCTCCTTTTGCTGCGCTTCACGACCGTAGAAACAGCTGAGCCGTGCCAGCGACAACATACCTGCGACGTTAGCTTCGCCTCTGAAGCCTGCGATAAATGCGTCGAGCAATGTCCAGGACGCATGGTGTTGCTTATTGTATACATCGATGTATCTCATCAGTGCCCCGAGGTTTGGTGATGCGAAAGGGTTCCCCATACGATTTCTTGAAACCCATGTAGACTCACCACCAATTTCTAGTACCTTGAAAATCTCACCGGGAGTATTCTCTTTCGATTGCACCTTCTCCATTAGATCGTGCGCCAATTCGGGGGTTATCTCTGTCCGCTAACGCTCGGAGAGGGATTTTCGGACAGCGGAAATGATCATGTCCCTTCCACCCACTAATTTCTTCACAACTTTATCATTCGCTCGTGCGAGCAGTGCCATGTTATATTGTCGGCGCTCCTTTTCGTGGGGTTGCTCGGATCCAATGTGTAACGGGGTGAATCGTTACATAACAATTTATAAGAAATTGTTAATAGAATATAACTATAAGAGTTATATTCTCAGAATATTGTCATAAGGACAATATTCTGTAGCACTTCCAAGTAGTTCCTAATTGGTTGATATAGGCCATTATATCAACCAACGAAGACGCGCCACGACAGACGCACGCAATGAGTGGTGAGCAGATAACTGATTTACACATTTGTATTTAGACATAGTTAGATGAAGATAAATAGTGATTTATTGCAGACATTAACTATTATAAATACAGTTCTACTTTTTACTCTAACCAAGTACTCGCTTCTTCTTACCGTCTTCCTCTGCACGTACGAGTGTACGTGAAGTTACGAGGCACCGCCTTATTCTGTTATCAGAATAAGTAGCTTGTACTGTCACCAGTACAAGCTTCAGGGTGCCCCGTTACACCTGGTAGCACTTCGTAGTCCGTCCAAGGACCGCGTTCACATCCAACATGAATATGTTGGATGATGAAGATGACCAAAGCTTTCACGCTACGCGTGACGGCTACTCCCATTTGAGCGATGTCGAATGGGATGCGGTTGAACGAATGGGTTCAACCATGGGCATCCATGCTGTTAGCGTCATGCTAGAGGCTCTCAATAGAGATGCCCAACATGCTACTATCGCCAAGTTCATTCAAAATGAACTTGACGCAGAACGCGAGAAAGTAGCCTTGCTTCACCAACAAGGTTCTCAACAAGCAGAGTTGTTGAGAGAACAGGGTGCTCAACAGTTTGAACTGTTGAGGCAGCAGCAGGCTGCTGCTGGCGGGTCGATGCACTCGCGTCGGCCCGAGACTTTGAAGATTGACATCTCAAAGTATAGGGGGGTCGAAGAAGACTCCCTCTTGAGATGGTTCGTCGAATTGGATGACGCCATAAGGGCGCGTCGCATCGACGACGGAGATATGCAAGTTGCATTTGCCCAGTCAAATCTGGCAGGACGTGCCAAGACTTGGGCACTGGGGCTCAAGCTGCACGACCCATACGCGTTTGGGTCGTTGGAAGTCTTCAAGTCGCGGCTCAGACAAACGTTTGAACCGCCTAGAGCTGAGTTCAGAGCTCGAACCGAACTCTTGAAGCTCAAGCAGGGTAAGCGTGATGTGCACGCTTACGCTCAACATATACGACATCTCACGAGTTGTATAAGTTCCAATCCGGTGGATGAACACACGTTGGTTTCGGTGTTCATGCAGGGTCTTGCGGATGGTCCCGTCAAGACTCACCTGTTCCGGCTTGAACCAGATTCACTAGAACAAGCCATTTCAATTGCGGAGCAGGAAGACTTCAGTCTGAGACAGGCTCGCGCCAGCTCGACATCATATCGTCAACCGAGACGATATGACAACGGAGGTCCAGAGCCAATGGAACTCTGTTATGTAGAGAGCGAGAAGGCTCGCTCTACAGGCTACAAGAAGTTGCAGAGATGCAACAGATGTCAAAAGACAGGACACTACGCTTACGAGTGTAGTGCCCCTCGTCCAGTGTCTCGCGACACTGGGCGTAGTGACCGTCCACCCATGAGAAAGGGGCAGGGACGAGGGTCCGCAGTTGGTGCAAAGACGCAACAACGGGATGGACCGTCAAAAAACGGACAGGATCAGTAGGTGCGGAGCACCCTACTGATCCAGCAACGTCAAGAGAATTTGTAGGCCTCTTGATGAAGGTTGCTCCCAACACACAGACATTGTGCGTTGCTGCTCTAGGTAATGAGATCTCACTCATTACCTTGAAACTCGAAGTGACGAATAAGTTGTCCCTTCGAGCTCTAGTCGATTGTGGGGCGTCCAACAATTTTGTGCGACGCCAATCGCTAGAAGATGGTCACTTTAAATTCAGTGAATGTGACACACCTCCTACGAGGATGACGGTACGTCTTGCGACAGGCGCATCCGTAACCGTCATGAAGCGTATAGTGAAGATTCACTATACGCTAGAAGATACCCAATACGACGATGACTTTATCGTATTGGATTTGGATGACAAATTTGATGTCATCCTTGGAATACCGTGGCTCAGAAGGTACGAACCACGGGTAAACTGGCAACATCGGACAGTAACGATGCCTGCCGCTTGTTCATCAGATGGCCATCTGATGAACGTTTTGGAGCGTCCACAAGCGTGTGGATGTACTACGAGTGAGTGCGATGGCCTCACTTGTGGTACGGTCGTTAGTACGACTGCACAAAACCTTAGTGTACCAAACGGTTACACTTCGGAGCAAAGTTCCGGCGGCTGTGAGGAAACACAGGCTGCGCCGAAGGTCCACCACTCGAATAAGTCGGGTGGACTGGGACAAAGATGTATCCCTAGAGGGGAACATCTAGAAGAGAAACAATCGATCGCTCAGGTTAAGCGAAACGATAATCCTAGATCGACTGGAGAGTCTTTCGTAGAGGATCTCGCTGTGGTTGCGCAACCCCAGCTAGAGGAAGTAAAGGGAATAAGTCCCAAGATTACAAATACGGCGGAAATAAGTTCCCCGAAACCCGCGGGAATAAGTCCCCGGGAAGACGAAGGAATAAGTCCTTCGAGGCTCGAGGGAGTAAGTCCCCAGGAAATGACAGAGACATTGAATGTCATAGTCAATAACGGATCATGTGTAGGCGCTTATACACTTGATCTGATTGCGCCTCCGAAGTTAACTTCGGAGATCACTCAGTTGCCAACGCTCGAACATAAAAGATTCTTGCGTGATCTGCGTAGTGGCAAAGTCAAGCAGATCTGCATACTCGTCGCTGAAGACGAGTATGTAACCGACATAAGGTCAGCAACAGTGTTTACTGAGAACGAGAGAGTTCTCAGTAGTTCATCTATGGACGAGAGTGTCCTAGATGAAAGGACACGAATTGAGCGATATGAGTCCCAATCATGGGAATCGCTCAAGGAAAATCCTCTCTATGAAGATTTGGTTGAATTCAAGGATGTATTCCCTGAAACTGTTCCGTGCGAATTACCGAAGGATAAAGGTATTCGACACGAAGTCGAGCTTAAACCAGGCTCGAAGTACTGTGTCATGAAGCAGTGGCCACTGCCTCGTGAACAAGTACTTGCGATCGACAAGTTCTTTGCCGATCGTTTAGCAGCGGGCCATGTGAGGGAATCAACTTCCCGACATAGCTCTCCGACCTTCTGTGTGCGAAAAGCAACAGGAGGGTGGCGGATAGTGCACGCGTTTAACAAATTGAACGCTGCAACGGTACCGGATCAGACGCCGATACCGAGGAAGGACGTAATCATTGATGGTATGTCAAAGAGTACCATCTTTTCGTCCATGGATTTGATGGATGGCTTCTATCAAATCCTAATGCGGGAACGGGATATACCCTATACCGCAGTTAGCACGCCTAGCGGCATGCTCTGGGAATGGCTAGTAATGCCACAAGGGCTCAGTAATGCCCCTGCCACGTTCAACAGGTGTGTATCACATCTGTTGAGGCCAGTACGAGAATTCGCGCCGAGTTATTTCGATGACGTATTCATCCATAGTCGAGCTATGGATGGAAAGTCGGACGTTGAGGTTCACAGGTACCACGTCCGACAGGTTCTTACAATCATGCGAAAGCATCAATTGTATGCAAACCTCAAGAAGTGTATATTTGCAGCAAGCGAAATACCACTTCTTGGGTGCATCGTTGGTAAGAACGGTGTACGTCCTGATCCCGAAAAGATCAAGGCGATCACCGACTGGCCTGTGCCGGTCGATGTCAAAGGTCTTCGAAAATTCCTTGGGCTAGCGGCGTATTTGCATAAGTATTCACGCAATTACGCCGAGATGACTGTACACCTCTCTCGTTTGTTGAAAAAGAACGAGAGGTGGTTATGGAACGCTGAATGTCAACGCTCCTTTGAGGGTATCAAGCAGAGCTTGATACAATCCCCAGTCCTAGCAATAGCCGATCAGGACAGGCCATTTCATGTGGTCTGTGATGCCAGCGATTTCGCGATCGGCTGTGCATTAATGCAGTACGACCTTGAAGGCGTTGAACGCGTCGTCTGCTATCAGTCGCGTCAGCTGCAACCAGCTGAGCGGAACTATCCAGTGCATGACAAGGAACTCCTTGCCATGAAGTATGCACTCGCGAAGTTCAGAGTCTATCTATTAGGAGATAGACCCTTCGTTGTTTACACTGACCATGCGTCCTTACGCACGGCAGTGAACAGCCCGCACCTTTCACAACGAATGGCGCGGTGGTTGTCATTCTTTGCAGAATACAACTTTACGGTCGAGTACAAACCAGGACGACTTAATGTCGTCGCTGATGCACTCTCACGTCGTCCCGACTTTGAAACAGTCGCGAAACCCAACAGTGAGACAGTCACTGTTGCGGTTATGACGTCCTCAGTTCCATCTACAACGTTGTATGATGATGTGAGGCGGGCATACGCCCAAGATGGTGAGATAGTGAAGTTGTTGTCACATCTCTCCCAACCATCTCGAGAATCGTTGAAACGATTGTCGTCTGCGTATCGATCTGCATCAGATCGATACACTACTCGTAACGGTTTACTGTACTATACAGCCGTTTCTGGTGACACACCACGTGTTGTCATCCCGGATGATACTGATCTGCGTCTGCGGATCATGTTCGAGTATCACGATGCTCCTATAGGAGGACATCGTGGCCGAGAGAAAACATATCTCACGGTAAGTCGAGACTTTTACTGGCCCCGCCAGTATCAGTTTGTGCGAAAGTATGTTCGCGCATGCGAAGTCTGCCAACGAGTGAAGTCAAGTCCTTCACTGCGTGCACCTTTACAGCCTCTACCGGTTCCGGCTGAGTGCTGGGAATCCATCTCAATGGATTTCGTCTTCGGGTTACCCAAAGACGCACGCGGGAATACGGGTATTCTCGTATTTGTTGACAGATTCAGCAAAATGGTACACCTTGTGGCTGTACCAGAGACAATCACGGCAAGTGGCTGTGCTTGTGTCTTTATTGACACCATCTTCCGACTTCATGGGTTGCCCCGTGAACTCGTATCAGACAGAGATCCACGATTCACTGCTGATTTCTGGCGTTCCGTGTTCAAATCACTCGGAACGCGCTTGAAGATGTCAACATCTGATCATCCAGAGTCAGATGGTCAGACGGAACGTGCCAATCGTGTCCTTGAAGAGATACTTCGAGGATACGTACACTCCTTTAAGAGTTGGAGTGAGTTTTTGCCGATGGTAGAGTTTGCCATCAACAACTCGGTGCATGCGTCCACGACACATACACCGTTTTACGTGAATGGCTTGCGCCATCCGCGTGTACCCACCTTACTAGAGTGTAACTCTGGTTTAAGGGGGGAGGGACTCGCGCGAGCAAAAACCGATTTGGTTCACGCTCATCACGCTCTGACGAAGAAGTCATTGCGTTTGATGCCGATATCGATAACATCGATATCGAAGAAGATGATGCCAGTGAGAGTGCGGAAGCCCTCACTGAAGACAATGATCCCAGTGAGAGTGCGGAAGCCCTCACTGAAGAAAAGGTTGTTGTCGCTGCAGTGCGCTCACAGCACACTGAAGCTAACGAGTCATCAGATGAGTTCATACTGGCTCGTGAAACGGTAGTCCGTTTTGTGCAAGATTCCATCGCCGAAGCGGTGGATAAGCAAAAGCAAAACGCTGATAAGAATGGAAGGGCAAACACTCTTTTATTTAATAAAGGTGACTAATAAAGGTTACTTAGTCCTACTGTCTACGGTTAATCTACCAAAGCATGTAGTGACTAACTTGGGTAGCAGTAAACTACTACCCAAGTACATTGGCCCATTTCGTGTATTGCACCACCTAGGCAATGCATACACGATCGAGTTGCCACGTAAGATGCGAACGCATCCCACGCTTTACGTTGGTCGGCTTAAGCCGTACCATCAGTACGCTGCTTCTTCCGATGACGAACGCCCTTGCCCTCAAGCAACTCGCAGAGAGCCTTGTGCTCCCGATGGTGAGCATCGACAAGGGTCTGAAGAGCAGTTATCTCATCCCGAGACCGATCAACAATCCCACGAGCTACCCTTAGCTCGTCACGAAGAGATGTCAGAGATCTCTCGTTCTCAAGCTGAGCTAAGGCAAACTCAGCCCGATGCTTCGAGACAGTGTCCGCCATTTGGAGACGCCTGTCCCGCTCATGTTCGAGATCGCCGCGTAACGCTTGTGTTACGCGATCAAAGAAGCTCTCGGGAACACACGCTTCCCCACGATTGTGTGGAGAGCGTCTTTCCTCCTCCTCCACCTCCATTAGAGGACTCTCGCGGTGGCCAGCGCTATCTAGTTGAGCAGCTGTTGAACCACCGCGATGTGAACGGACGTCGGACGAGTTATCTTGTCCGGTGGCGCAGCTATCCCTGGGATTCTTGGGAGCCCCGCTCCCAACTGATGATTGACGTACTGGGTCTGGTTGAGCAGTACGACGCGGCACATCCTGTGCCGCAGAAGGACCGCTGGAGAAAGTCTTCCCGACACGGTCGTAAAGGGATTTCAGGTTGTCAATCCCTTCGTACATCCCAGTAGAGATACGTACGCGCCACCACGGGCTAGTAAGGAGGTAATCCTCCTTAGGTGCTCGTGCAGAGTTGTTCACACAACATGGGCACGAGTCTCCCCAAGAAAGGC